TTAGTTCATAAGCCCTCCTTTCACAAGCCCTCTTTACTCATTCATATATAATTTTTATTCCTCATTATCTTTTTTTATTTCTTCCCAAATTTCATCTTTCTCCCTTCCTCTCACTCTTCTATACATTCTCTCAATCTTATAAATTCAGGTGCATAGAATGCACCAGAGTCCTACATGCAACATCCTTATCCCTGGTCTGTGCAGCTCCAACCCCCATTCATTCATTCATTCATTCACTCATTTGTTCATTCTTTCACTCGCTCATGCATTTGTCCTTTCTTTCTTATTCTGGGTCTTCTTTTACTTATTAGGTCTCCTGTGAAATTGTATTAGTCAAAACCCCATGTGTAAAATGAACCTCACTGGCCCATGAATTTATTTTCCCTTGCAATCTTTCTTCCCTGCATTTAGTCACCTTTTACATTCAGTATTTATTATTTTATTTATGTACCTCAATTGCATATATTTTACTGTAGTGGCTGTTTCTTTGGCCAGTGTTTTCTCAATTTTTCATTTATTCTTTGAAAGGTGTAATGTATGTATCTATTTAAGGAGTATGTATGTAAACCAATTATAATCCCCGTTCAAACAACCTCTTAACTAGCCATTTATCATTTTGGTTGTTTATTTATTGTTTCCTTTTTTGCCTTTTTTTTTTTTAATTCTCATTTTCCCTTGCCCTAGACACAGGATCGGATGATCTCATCCATCTTTAGGACTAATGATGACCCATTACCAGCCCCAACAGGCTTTTCTATCTGAGACCCACCCATGTTACCTTTTTACAGGTTTTTTTGGTGGGGTTTTCCTTCTCTTTCACTTACTTTCATCTTGTTTTCCTAGTCTCTTTCTTTAACTCCGATGCCTTTTTCTTGCATCTGTTCATGTTTAGGGACCACAGGTGACACGCTCTCTAGAGTGACATGAGCATCCATCCCATGGCAGCCCTGCCCTGGCGGATGCTGGCACAGCCGTTTCTAAGGCAGCCGCTCAGATATCTGTTCATCCTTCCTGTCACTCCTTTATTTCAATATTTATCCTTTTATCTATGGGCCTCAGGTGCACAGAATTGGATTAACCGTCATCTGTGGTTCCTGGAGCCTTCTCAGCACCTGTCCGTGGGGCGCCCTTTTGCTTGTTAATTTCTTGTACTGGTGCCTGGCTTTAGGGTTTATTTAATTACATCAAAAGCCCAGTTTTCAATCAGTCATAATTTGGGGGTCAAGATATTGTCTCATTTTTTTGTTCTACCATGGCCCTCTCTCTCTCTCTCATACATATGTGTGTGTGTGTGTATACATACATATATACATATATATTCACTTAATGTTTTTATTGCTTATATTCATCTTGTCATAATTTTCTATGCCTCCCATTCCTTGTTTTCTCAAATCATCATTTCTTATTCATTTATTCACACAGCCATTCCTCTGCTAATTCCTTCATTCTTTTTAGCCACTTGGGGTTTTTTTACTGTGGACACTCACTTTTTATTACTAATTATATTTAATGAATATTTGTTCATTATATTTAAATACTTATCTAGTAAGTGCCTTTTCCCCTACACGTCTATTTTAATTTCTTTTCCTACATCTTTTTTCTCCCAGCCTTTCCTTTTATTTTCAGACTCTTTTTCTTGCTCTCTCATGGAACACACGGATTTATTCTCTGTGTCTTCTGCGTGTGGTATTGTTTTTATTATTTATAAACTTCGGGGCCACAGATTTGAATTAATGTGGAAGATGAGTGTGAAACCAGTCCTCTCTCATACATGGTAGTTGTTTGGCCTACTTATTTATTATCTTTCTTACTCCTTTTATTTATGTTGATTTTTCCCCATCTTAATTGGTTTTTCTACCAGTCTTTCAATCTTTCTTTCTTACTGCCTTTCATTGTTTTGGAGACCAGGCACCAGGGATTGGCTGAACCCTAACCCCCCTCTACAACCCCCTCCTCATCAGTCAATGCAAATCTTTTTCTTCGTTCTTTCCCTCATTCATGCCTTCATGCATCCATTTAGTCTTTCTACTTAAATTGTTGTTTTTCCGCTTCTGGATGACAGATGCAGCTAATTGGATACATGATAATCTGTAGTCAATGGGTCCTCCCCTCCCTGGCCTCACGGTGGTCCTCCCTTATGTGTGTCAGCTTTGAACTGTTTCCTGGGTGGGTGGGTGGTTGCCCATGTCAGAAGCACAGATGTGAATTAATCAGAGTTTGGTTCATGCACCCTCATTTTTATTTCTAGAATGGCTCTCTCTTATATATTGTTACCTAATTACGTTCTTCTTCTTTAGATAATATTTACATTTCTCTCCAACTTTCACTATATCTCCCCTTCACTCTCTCATTCTTTCTTTCTTTCTTGGAGCTCAGCTGCCATGGTCGGATAAATCCCACTGCCACCTGCAAACACCCACCATGGCCCCCACAGGCCCAGTCTCATTAATTCCTTCTGTGCTTCCTTCAACCACTCATCCATTCATTCTTCCTTCCTGTTTTCTTTCTTTTTATTAGGTATTTACTCCTCTGCTAGTGAATGGAGGGCTCAGATTTGGACCAGTTGTGATCCAATATGTGAGGGCCCCTCATTACCAGTCCTAGCCTAACCCTCTCCTGAGGACTACCACTTGTTCATTTAGTCACTGTCCCTGTTTATTCTTCCTGCCTCTTTTGTTACAGCTTTCTATATCCCATCTTTCTCACTTGACTTCTTTCATTCTCCTAGAGCTTCTGCCCAGAGGGAATTCATGAACCTCCACCGTCCCCCCCACTCACCCACCCAACCTCTCACCAGGAGTGCTGTCCCTAGGGTCTCCTCTCCTTGTTTATTTCTATGCTGACTATTTTATTGTCAGTACTGCAGTTTTAGACTTGGGTTCACCCTACCCCCCGATTCATGGCCGTCTTTTACCTCTCCTCTTAGCATCAATACACCCATTAATGTATTTCTGTACCTAACACCTGCTACTCTTTCTTCCCTATTTCTGGACTTGTATTTAGATGTTTTATTTATCCTCTTGTTCTTTCATCATTTCATGCAACGGACCTCCGCTCCCAGGGACGACAATGCAAAGGCCCTCACACCACATGCCCAACCCAGGGCCAGGTGTCTCACTGCTCACTCAGCCTTTCCATTGCTCCTTTCTTTCATTTCAGTACTTATTTATTTATATGTACCCAGAGTTAAAAACCACTGTTGGTTAAAGTTATTTCTCATCTGTGGCCCCCTGAATCCTCCTTCCTCTTTAATTATTCTTTTAACTTCTTCTGTTGTTTATTTTTCTATGCCGGGAGCACCTACTCAAATTAATCAGCTTATAATAACCCAACGTAGTCCTTATATTTACTCATCTCCTAATTTTTAAAGGTTATCTTTCTAAGGACACATATGTAATAACTTAATCAATAAAAAAAACATTTTTTAAAGTTATCTCCCTTCCTTTTCTTTAATTTTTTTCCTTCTTGCCATTTTCTTTCTCCCTTTCAAGCACCTGTCCCTTCGCTCCAGCATCTGCCCCACCTGGACGGGTCTCGGAACCTCACCATTGGTTTGTGGGGTTTTCCACAGTAACTTTCTCTTTATTTTTTTTTAATTTTTACCTTTTTGACAAAAAGCTGTACAGTAAGTGTACACATGCACATCAGAATTTGGAGATAAGTGTGCACTGTGAAACCATCACTACAATCTGTGTCATAAACTTGTCCATCACCTTGAAAAGTCTCTTCTCACCCTTGTATGTGTTATTACCATTTATGATAACAATGCTTTACATAAAATCCACCCCCTTAGTAGGCGTTTACACATACAATACAGTACAGTCACCATTGGTTTATGCATTTCTACTTACTTCTTCTTTCCTTTATTTAGCTTTTATTCTTTTGTTGAAAAACTTTAGGTGCTCTCTATTTGAATGACACATATTCCTTGGTCCATGATGACCTGATACCAGTTCGTGTGCGGCCTTATTTACACATTGATTCAGTATTTGATTGACTTACATACTGATCTCCATTGGATCTTGTTCAGCGTACACTCTCATTCTGGCTCGTCGCTTCTTTACCTATTTGTTTATTCATTCCTTCATCGAACCAATAAAATCACCATACCTTAGGCCTTTTTTTTTCCTTACCGAGTTAACCACCAAGACCAGGGTGTGCACAGCCCACGGTCCTTAACACATTCACATGGCAGGAGCAGGCACAGGTATAGTCAAAGTTAGTGTAGCCTAGACCCACTGGGGACAGGGCGGGCACTCCCCCCGGCCCTGTGAATGGCTATCCCATGAGAAAACAGTTTCAGGCCCCGGGAGTACGCACAGAGACGCACTCGTCGTACACGGTCTCCCCGGTGGGAAACAACGGATATGGAGTTCATTTTTAAATAGGCAGCTTTGTTTGCAGCAATATAAAAATATTTTGGCCTTTCAAGGCAAATACAAAAGGAATGACCCATTACCATTGCTGAGTGTCTCAGTTCTCAACAATAAAGAACTTGAAGAGGTTTAGCCGGACACCGTGAAGACAGAAAATCTGCCCATTCTGTTTTCCAGACATTTCAAGGGGGTGAGCGAGGTCACTGGGGCTGCAAGCCCATTTGAAAGGCAGGTCCCTCGGCCCGAGCTCTTTCAGTGGCCTGTGAAGGCCCCCGGCTCAAAAGGGCACTTCCATCGGAGGCTGCCCTGCAGCACCAGAGCCATAGGGACACTCGGTAATGAAAGGGCCATTCATTTCGAGGAGTGAAAGAAATTCTTTTAGGGTCTGGCCCTCGAAGCCGCCTATAGAATTCTTCACCACAACACAAGAGGCTGGAGGTCCTGCCTTCGAACATGAGCCCCCCAAGGTCCTCATTCGACTCGCTTGCTGAGCGCCCACCGCCCTGCAAGCAGCCCAGTGCTCAGCAGTCCCTCCCACAAGGCTCGCCTGGCAGTGTGCAGAGTGGCGGCCCCCACCCTCAGTGACAAAGCCATAGGTGTGCGCTCCGCTCTCCAGGAACTTACGATTTCGCAGGTGGAGGGTGCGGGGGCTTGTGTCTGAGGTCCCATCCCACGAGGAATTCCGGACGATGGCTTCGTCTGGAAAGACAAGGCACTAGTCACTGAAGAGAACCTCATCCAACTGAATGGAGCAGGGACTCCCCAACGTCTAGCCAAGTACGGAACTGGTGACGCCATGAATCTCTCTTTTTAATACACTGGTCACGCACTCACCTGCCTGCCGCGCTCCCCACCCCAACTTCAGCCACAGATGGAGAGGAGAGGGCAGGGGACAGCATAGGACATGGCTCCTGCGGTTGGTGCTGCCCATGGACTAAGTTCTGTTTTGTGAAACCCAAGAGTTTAGGGCCACTGCTCAAGGGAGAGCTGAGCTGGACAACAAAAGCGTGGACGGGATGCTCCCTGGAAGGGCATTCTGCCTGGCTGGAAGGGCAGAGTGGCCATCAGCGTGTGCCCAGGGAGATGTCAACAGTGCAGCCAGGTGGTGGTCAGGTGACCAGCAGAGCAGCTGGCCCGGGATGACACAGAGAAGTGGGTTGTGGGCGGAATTAAGGGTCACAGACTTCAAGCATTTGCCTTAAATTTTGAGTTTAAAGAAAGTGAGTTGGGTAATGGCAGGTAGGTCATTATAGAGTTTTCCCTCCGCGTCCACGGGGGACTGGTTCCAGGATCCCCCTCAGATACTGCAATCCGCGGGTGCCCTGTCCCTCACCCAAAGTGGTGTCGTGTTGGCGTGTCACCCATGCACACCCTCCCGCAGACTTTAAATCACCTCTAGGTTGCTTGTCATGCCTCATACAGTGTAAATGCTGTGTAAGTAGTTGTTCCAGGGAATTGTTTAGGGAATGGGGACAAGGAAAAAGCCTGTGTGTGTTCAGTAGACACAGCCAGCAGCCACTGTAGGCCTCATGACACAACACACATTGTCAGCAGCAACGTGACTATTTTGCCAAATATTTTCAATCCACGTGGGGTTGAATTCATGGGTGCAGAACCCATGGATCCAGAGAGCCAACCGTATATTGGCTCATCGATTGTAACAATGTGCCACACTGATGCAAGATGCTAATGACAGGGGGAACTGGGGGTGTGGGGGTTGAAATGGAATTCTCTGGATTCACCACTGATTTTTTCTGTAAACCTAAAATTACTCAGAAGAAATAGTCTATTCATTACAAATATTTAAGTGAGTGGATTTTGAACATACATTGATTAGAGTCTAGTGAAGGGAAGTAGGTGTGGAAGGGAACAGGTGGTCTGCAACGGCTGAGGTTTGAACAGGCGAGAGAGCAGAGCCTGAGACTGGGGGGAGAATGAGAGGGCGCAGGCTGCCCCTGGCCCTCCAGGGAACCCCAAGGAAAGGCTCTCACCAACGCCCCTGCCCTGACGTAAGCCACTGGGGATTCCCCTGCTGCCTTTGCCTCTGCATTCCCTGCTGCATCACTCACTGGGGCCCCCAACATCTGGACGGGGCACTGGGGATACACCTTTTACCTCTAAACCCTCCTCAAAACTCCTTCCCTGGTCTTTAGCTTCCCAAACACTGTTATTCCCTAATGGGTTGCTTTTCTATCCAAAAAAAAAAAAAAACCCAAAAAGTCTTTTAAAAATAAGTACTGATGAAGCAGTTACAGCTCGGAGTGACCGAGGGCGGACTGGTTACCTGAGGGTTCCGGGACCTCCGTTTGTGCGGGATACCTACCACCTGAGATGTGCCCCGCCCTCCCAGGAGCCTGAGAGGCCTGCGGTGGCCCTCCCACCACCCACGGGGCCCTAAGAGGACAGAGGGACTCCAGAGCCTGAAACTGCAGCAGGACTGACCACGGGCGTCGTACGGCCACTTCCCCCAGGACAGGAGCAGGGAAGTACTTTGGGGATTGTTCTGGTCTCTTAGGTAGTTTAATGGGACCTGCTTCTGCTGGGGGTGGGGGACCATGCGCCCTCAGAGGCCCTGGTTGCCCTGGATGAACTTTTGTGCAGACCCCGGGCTGCTCTGGGAAGACGCAGGCCTGGATTTGCGTGTTGCGCTAATAACATGGTCCTGGGCTGAAATCTTAACAAACGTCAGAGAAGCTGCAAAGATGAGCCAGTGCCTGGCGCCACAGGAAAACACGAGGTCCCCTTACGGGGTCCAGAGGGACAACTGTCACACACTGGTGCCTGGGGGACCTCGCAAAAGGGCGTGCAGAGCTGTAGATCCACCCAGAAAGCTCCGTGGACACACCCCCTACCTCGTCCCCGGCTTAATGGAGTTAGAACATTCTGGTTCAGCATCCCAAGATCTTTAAACTCACTCTTTTCTGGAGGCACATGGAACCTAAGTGATCTGACCTGTCCTTGGGGACAAATCACTGGATGCTTAGAGCCCGCCCTGAGACGCAGGTCTGTGCAGAACTCATTTCCTGGACCTTTGTGAGGGCCGGGGCCCTGTGCATTATGGGCCCATTTACAAAAATGAGAGCGGTAATTGGAACATCTTTTGAAATCCTGTCCCCTCTCTCTGTCGCCGGCCCCCTCGGCCGCCTCACCCCCCTTGGTGGGTGGTGAAAGATGTTTACATATGCCTCTTCCTGGAATTTCACTCTTTGCTCCAGGAGTGGGCAATTAGAGAGAATTAGGGCCTATTTGGCGTATGGGTACCGTTAATGGATAGAATGGAAGAGGCAGCCTTGGGAAAGGCAGTCTGCTGGTCTAATTGAAGCTGGCAATTTTTTGATTCCTTGTTTCAGCTCGCAGGTATTGTAGTAACCAAGGTCACCAAACAAAGCGCAGCCCACCATGGTAATGACGGGTGCAGCCTGACCGAGGCTCCGGGAGCTGTTTCTTGGCGCCACTGAAGCACAAAGGGATGGCTGGGAGTGTTTGCAAAGCTGGGGCTGAGGCGCGCAGCGGCACAGGGCCGCTAGCTGATCACTTTTCCAGAACTTGCCACCCCGATGGCTTCCGCAGGAAGTTCTCGGCTGAGCGGGCCGGGCTGCCAACTGGGGTGTTGTGTGTTGCCAAGGGTCTCGCGACCCAAAGGCCCAGGGCGAGCCACAGGGGAGGTGTGGCCGCCGCACCCTCCTGGGCCTGCAGCCGCGGGCCGGTGTCATTACACAGTGACCGCGCCACTGCCCAGAGGTTTCCCAGGACTGGCCGGCGGCCCACACATTTGGAAAAGTGCTCCGTAAAATGCAATCCTCGCACCGCACAGCCCCTTGGAGCGAGGGTGGGGCGTGAGCACTGTTAGAATCTGTGTTCACGAGAAGCTGACCGGGAGGCCGGCTACTGGCTGCAACCCCACCGCCAGGCTGGTCGAGCGGAGCCAGCGTGACAACAGGGTCACAGCCAGGCCTGCCACCTGGGCTCTGGTTTACTTGTCCCTAACGTACATCTCTTGGAAGCTAATAGACCAGTAATCTCAGCCCCTGACTCTAAAGACCCAGCAAACAAACAGGCCACGAATGACCACCGAGGAAGCTGGGAGGGTCCCAAAGCAACAGGGGCACTCAGATAATGGTGATTAGGCACCGCCCCATTTCACAGATGGGAAAACTGAGTCCCAGAGGACTGGAGACAGGGGCCAACTGCAGTCAGTGCCATGCATAGGCTGGAACCAGGTGTCCAAAAAGTCCTCTTAGGGCTGCTGCCTGACCCTGGGTCCCAAGAAGCTCTCCTCTGACCAGTCCCAAGTAGTAGGGGTTTGCCTTCATCCAGTGCCCAGCTAGGAGACTTATGGGGGCCCAATCTGGACACTTGGGACCTCTGACCCGTCCTCTGGTGAAACAGGGCCTGGCCTGTCCAATACTAATACCCAGGCTTCTTCTGCCTCACGGATTATGCACACCTGACAGGCTACTGCCTCACTTTACAGATGGGAAAACTGAGGTCCCGAAGCCGGTGGTCACAAAGACACCAGCCAAGACTGAGGCCTGGGACGCCTTCCTCTCTTGCAAGGACTTTGCCCTGGTTCCCAGGGAGGGGACTCAAGCCCTCGGGGCAGTTTGGGGCAATGGTGGCTCTGTTTTCCCTCCATCTCAACAGGTCCCCTTGCTCCGGGCTGTTCCTGCTCCGGGGGTCCCTACCGACTCTCCCCCAACTTTCCTGCTCCCAGCACAGTTCCATGGATCCCCAGGTCGTCAGCCCCAACGTCTTAGCCTGGTGGGAAGGACTCTCTCCACCCCGGGGGTGGCCTCAACAAAGGGCCAGGAGGCGGCAGGAGCCACGCAGCTGCGGCCCTGGACGGCCGGCACAGACATGCGGTCAGCCTTTGGCCCCCCGACTGTCCTCCTTCCCCAACTTTCCATCCTGGAGTTTTGTCCTTGGCCCCATTCTGTCTCTCTGGCCGTCTCTCGGGCGTCGGGCCCAGTTTGATCAAATTCTTGTTTATAGGCACAGCCACTGATTCTTCCTCCTGAGAATCTCGCAAAAAGAAAGCCCTAGAACACGGAGCGCGAGCACGGCCGGGGTCACGCGCTGGCATGGCTGGCTAAGCACGCCTTTGTGTCGCCTCCTGTCTGCGTCTCTGAAGACACACACAAGGGCAAAGGAGCCCGCGGGGGCAGCAACCCCCAGAGGGGACACACACACACACACACACACTCCCACACCCTCCTCCTCAGGGGAAGGTAATTGAGGTTTTCTTCTTTTCATCTGAAGAAAAGGCACCTTCTATTGAAAGAATGTATTCACAGACCTGGGAAAACTCATCTGCACTCAGCCCTCCCAATTACCCCAGGTGGCTGTTCTCCACGGGGCTCCCCCACATTCCATTCTGCCCGCGCCTTTGTTCCCAGCTGAACCGGCCCTGGGAGCTCCCAGGCTAAGAGTCTCCTCCTTAAGCCCCTGCCAAAGACCCTATTCACTGCGCAGAGCGACGCCAAGCAAAAGGTGGTGGGGAGCCTTCCTTGGCCCCGACCCCCAGGGTGGGGGATTTAAGAAGTCTCCATCTGGATTTTTTTTCTAAGCCCAAAGAAATTGGAGAGCAATTAAGAGAGTCATGTCTATACCCTCCGCCATCCTTTCCCTTAATTAACTCCTCTCTCACACACATCCCCCCAAGGTGGGGCCACCCTGGCCTCAGCCACCCAGCACCTGCTCTGCTCGCTGGTACCCGTGACCACCGAGGACTCAGGCGGGCAGGGAGCTGAGAAGACAAATAGAGACGTATCTGGAGACGTTCTAATCACCCTGAGTTCCCCCAACAATGGCTCGAGCGATCCGTTTTCCAGTGAAGACTGGAATATGGGTCCAAGTGTCTAAAACGCACTAGGGAGGCACTAGAAGTGCCAGGATGTATGGGCACCTCAACGATGCCCCTCTTAGGTACCGGGCAGCTTGCCTTGGCAAAAATAGGGGGTCCTCCACCTCTGGACCCAAGGGAACTTGGGACCCCCTCTCCCTGTCCCATCCTACTGCAGTGCCCACGTACCCAGGAGGGTACTGTTGAGGGCTCCCTCCCTTCGCACCTTTCCTGACTCAGAGACACTGAGCCGACTCTGCTGGTTTCTACACTGGCCATGGTCCTGTGACCCTGTGGGACCTTAATTTGGGTCCGTTCTGTGTAACGCCACCTTTCCTTTTTTTTTTTATTCAAGGAAAAATTGGGTAAATTCTGTGTAAAGCCGCCTTCCTCTTTTCAAGGAAAAATTCATTAGCAAGCTCATTAGAGATGGACAGATTCTCCTTTTCTTTCTGGACGTCAGATTGCCCATAAAAACACGGCTAAGTTTCTGCATGTAAATGAATGAATGAGAAACACATGCATCGCGCTGCCCTGGGTCTTGCCAGGCTTCGACATGACTTGGAGAAATGTGCTTGGAAAGACATTTGGGGTTTGAATCACGAGTCAGGAGGCACAAGGGCAGGGATCCTGGAGGCTGCACTCAGCCCCACAAGCAAACCTGCAGGTGGGCAAACTGGGGGGGGGGCCAGGAGGGAGCACCTTCTCCCTCCCCAGGAGTCTAGCGGCTGGGTGACACACGGCCCCTCTCCCTTGCCTCTGGGGAGGCAGGCGGGGCGGGAGGGCCAGCTTCCAGACAAGGCCACCGCCTTTTCCCCGACATCTGTGCCCATCCGGAAGCATCCGGGTAGCAGCAGACCCCGGGGAACAGCTGAGTATAAGGACAAAATGGCCAGAAAACTGCCACCCACCACCACGACAGAGTCCTCTGGCTGTTCCGGGTCTCATGTCTACCCCTTACTGCTCAAGGACGGACCGATCCACCAGAAAATTTGGGATGACTGGGATGCAGGGCTGATTTACGATACATTCAACTTCTTTCATTGAGAATTTGATCTATTATTATCTATTTTGTGCTTATGCCACACGAACCCCAACACGTGTATTTGCCTAGAATTGACCATTCACAAGTGTACCTGAAATACAGCTCGGCCCAAAGCCCAGCCACCCTAAACTACTGAGCAGGGTGAGGGCCCAAGTCTGGAACTGGCTGGGCACTTGTTCTCACCTTGACTCTGCCCCTCAGGTCAGCCCGCTGTGAAGGAGTCCTGAGATGGCCCTAAGGAAGAGTCTAGAAGCGCTGGGCATTTGCCTCAGGCTAGCTCCACGGACCTCTCCGGAAAGCTCCGGATCGAGCCCCCCAGGAGTTCTGTGTAAAGTTCCCGCCCCCGCCTGTCTTCCTCGGCACCGTGTTTGCAGGTGGCTTGGCAAATGCCAGCTGTGGGGTAAATATCACAGGGCACCATCTTCCTGGGCTTAGGCCTGGGCACACACACCCCACCTCTCTCCAGCCTGCCGGGCTCCCCCCGGAGCGAGAACAAGCTCACACAGGCAGCAGTGCCCAGGTCCGCGTCCCTCGCCCCTCTCTGCCTAGACCGATGTGTTTTATTTCAATATCCGCACCCCGGTTCCGTTTCGGGGAGGAGGCGGGGCTGTGAAGGAGCTGCCTTGCAAATGCCCTCAAAAGCATTGTGGGTGCTGCGTGGGACCCCAAGGCATCTGGGGGACTGAGTCAGATTCACCCTGGCCTACAGGTCTCCCTCACCTCCCGGCTGGACGCCTGGCAGTCTGTGCTCATCGTTCACCCAGCAGCTCCCCCGGGAGCAGCAGGCGAGAGGCTGGCCAGGCACAGGGCCGGCCGCTCGCCAGGAACACCCCCACTGGGCTGCCACCTCCGAAAACCCCCAGAGTCCCTCCACGGGACTCAGGCTTCACCCTTTCCTGAACTCGGCCACCGGGACCCCAGAAAGGAGGGTGCCGGCAGCAAAGCCTCTTCTCTTCCTGTCACCTTGCTTAGCTGTCCCCATCGCTGCGTGGGACCTCCCAGGACACCCAAGTGGACCCTTTGGGCCTGCAGGCAGACCTGGTCTCGGGCACAGGCGGCGTGAACGAGGGAACCACGGAGAGACGGATGACGCCTGGGCTGGTGTGTGGCTGCAACCCCGCTTTCTTCTTCCTCCCCACCATCACTGATTGTGTGTAAACAAACACAAACATTCCCGTCTCGCTGCAATTTCAGGGGGAAGGAGAAGAGGCCAAGAGGAGGACTCACTCAAAACCACTATTTGATTAAAGGACATTATCAAAGCCTCGTGTGCGAGGAGCCCGCATTCTCTCAGGGACTGACGTTGCCATGGCTTGGGGCAGAAATGTTTTTCTAGCTGCGGCGCAGACAGGCATGCCTATTGCCACAGCTCCACAAGTGGGGGGTGCTCGAGAGAGAGAGCAGTGCACCCTCATTCATCTCATGAACATGCTCAGTGAAGCTTTGTTGAGGACCTATTATGTGCCTGACCCAAGCCGGTTCTCGGGGCCCAGACCAGAGTTGGACGCTCCTCACTTACCGTACAGGCCGGGGGGTGCCCACAGCATCTGGTCAACCAGGTGGCCCCGTCACACACTGGCTGGTGGGGCTCCAGGCGGCAGCCAGATTCCCAGGCCCCGAGTTGGAGTAGAAGGCAGTGATCCCCCCAAGCTAAATGTGTACATTCTTGAATGTGAGGTGGACTTAACACATTTTGTACCGCTCAGGAGTTTTCTCGTGTTTCGCGCGCCATCTGTGAAGGACCGCTCACGAGTGTTCTCGTTTTTCACACCCATGGAAAAAGGAGCGAATCTAGATACTTATGTAAATTTTGTTTGGTCCCTCTTCATAGAGGAACATGTTTTAGGCAGTACCATATGTTTAAAAAGTACTAGGAACGTTAATTGTTTAATTGTTTAAGTAAATAAAAATGTTATAATTATTGAAAAACAACACCTAAAGTGCATTATGATGATTTAAATAACGTGCAATTTGCCCAAAAACGTGCGGTCCCTGGCGTATGTCTTAGAGATTTCTATGCGGTACGCAATGTGTTAAGGAAATCTTGGTGTTTCAAGAAAGCAAAACACTCACCCCAAACCAGGACGGAGGCACGAGGCTGGGCGCGGGGTTGGGAAGGAGGGCTTGGTCCAGGGCGGTGTCCTCCTGGGGCTCTTCTGCCTCTTCCGTCAGTTCTTCAGCTGACCCGGCCCCGGGTCAACCTTGGGGAGGGACAGAAAGTTAGAATACAGCGAGGCCAGCACCCCAGAAAAGCCACACTCCAAGATAAGGCAGAGCCGTCTCACCAGAAGTCTAGTTTTCGGTGGAGGGAGGTGGCTCGTGGGAATGAGCAGTGATGGGAAAAGCCGAAGGCCTGGGTGGCAGCTCCCAAACCAACTGGAGACCTGGGGTGATGTGGGGTGAGCAGGGCCGGGGACTCACAGGGGCGGGGCAGGCCATGGGATTACCTGCCTGGGGACAACAAGGGATCTGTGAGGGAAGGAGGCAGGACCGAAGGTCGCGCAGACCCTAGGAAGCCAGGCAAATGGGAGTAGGTATTTGAGGATGTTTGCGGGAGGTAGCATGCCAGCAAGGGCTTGTCCCATAGGCACTGGGGGCCTGTTGGCAACCTGGGCAGCAGGATGGAGAAATGGCTCGTTGGGCTGTGGGGTGTCTGGACCTAGCAGCAGGGCCAGAGGAAGCAGGTGAAAGGTGGGTGACGTAGCAGCAGGGGCAGGTAAGACAGCGCGCTGGCAGCTGAGGCCCACAGGGTCATAAGCCAGGTGAGTCGGGCACAGAGAAGGGGGAAAGCAGAGCTCCTAGTGGGCAACAGACCAGGGGAGGAGCCGCCAGGTAGAGCAGCCAGGTAGGCAGCCAAGCGGAGGCAGAGCCTACAGAGCTCCCTGGAGGTTCCCAGCCACCTATCCTTTGCATAGGACAGTCTCTAGCCCAAGAAAGGAGCTAGATTTAGCCCCAGACGGGAGGCAGGTATCATGAAGGGAGGGGTCCAGCTCAAGGACCCCAACTCAAGAGGGAGACCATGTGGCCAGAGCCCAAGGGTACACATACCACATTCCGGGGTGCATTCAGCTCAGGGCTGAGTCGGGGAGGCAGAGAGGGCAGGAGAGGCTGGCTACGGAAAGGTCACCGGCCAACTGGCCCAAAGGCAAACCAGACCAGCCCCTCGCAGTCCCGCTGTCCTGCCTTCTACAGAGCAGTCGCTGCGCCAGTGCTGGGGGGCCAGGCCGCCCTCGGCAACGACACCCCCTGGCCCGCTCTCCCGAGGGCAGAGGCCATCAAGGGACCGGCTAGTGTGGCGGGTGCTCAGGACGGGCCGGGCTATGGGCTAGCTCAGTAATGATCAACTGTTGGATGAAGGTTGGCCGCGTGAGTGAATGAAGGGGCGAGACCGGCAAGGCCCCTGCTCAAGTGGGGGTGCCCACCCCTCCCTAAATTGAAATCCACTCTCCAACCTTTTGGCCTACGTGTAACTCCTCGCCTCCCAACAACGCCTCTAGCAGCCGAGGTCCTTCGTTGACTCACCTGCCCAAACAAACAACATCCCACATACTTTTACTGAGCCCCACGTGTGCCAAGCTGGTGCTGGGACACCCAGAGGAGGTGTGGGCTGGCCTAGGGCACCCCCAAAACACTGGGTTAGGAAGTGGCGATGGAGGGGTGAGGGAGGAGAGAAGGTAGCATGAAGAACAGAGGTGGGAACAAGCAAAAACAGGAAACCAGAACTCATAATAGCTGGAGAAGGGGGAGCATCTCTGGGTCCTACTCATCCCCTAGGATCCCACCTGGCTACAGCCTCCTCCTCCACCACCGGGGCCTCCAAGGTTGACTTAAGGATGGATGTGCAGAAGCGTGGGCTCTGGAGGTCAGGGGTCAACCCAGGAAGTCACCCAAGACCACTGAGCTGGAAGAGTGGGACGTAGGGTCCCACGTGAACAAGCAGGTGCCACCCCTAAGGGAGCCGTGAGCTCAGACCCCTCTGCTAGTGAACACAGAAAAGCTAGAGACCAGTGGGCCCAGAAACCCATGCACGAGGGGATGTGGGAGCCAGTTCCCCTAGGACCAGGCAGTTGGGGCTCCAGGAATAACACAAACCCCCCCCCCCCCCCCGCCCCCGCTCAAGATCCCGGCCAACTAATGCCTTCCACCCCTCCTCAGGTGCTCA